AAAATTGGGGCACTAGACAAGTGTATAAGCTCGCTCCTGTCTGGGACATACCAGTAGTGAAGTAGAGGGTGAGTGCAAAGATGGCATCTCCTGACTACATTCCCTGAGAGCGCTCTGTAGCCTCTAGATGTGTGCCCAACCTGAAGCCCGCCACTAAGGGCAAAGCTCTAAGACAAGCAATTAAGCATCTTTCACTGAGAGACTGGGGCTCTGTTTCAGTCTTCTGTCTGTGCAGTGTCCTGTGGGTGGTAGCATGCCAACAACTGTCTCTCCAATTGTTGCAGTCTTGTGGGACCCAGGAATGCAAGGCAATCAAGGAGTATCCACTGTGTGGCAAACTGGGGCACCAGACGTGTGTAGAAGCTCCCCTCTGGGAGAGATTGGTGCTCTGGAACACCCACAGAGAACACACAGAGAGTCACACAGATGGCACTTGCTGAAGAAAGAAAAAAAGGAAAGGATAAAGATGGTGCCTAACAGCTTTAGCAAGGCAAAGCGTGAGAGCATGGAAGATGGTGCCTGTTGGAAAGCAAAAAAGAAAAAGGGGGGACACTTGTTGGCTTTAGCAAGGCAGAGGGATAAGCAGGAAGATGCCTAGCCTCTGTCCCTAAAATGTTTCTCAGCAGACCCCTACCCTACAGACCATCACTTTAAAATTAGCAAACTGGTTTCATTCACGTAAGTGTGGGGGCTTTTCAAAGAGCTGCTTCTGTGCTGGGGCCTGGGGTGGGTGAGTCTGCATGTGAGCCTTTTAAGAGTCATTCTTCAGTTTGTCACAGCCCCGTGGGTTTCATAGGTGCAAGCCCAGTTGGTCTTCAAAGCTATGCGTTTGGGGGACTTGTCTCTCAGGTGCTGGTCTTAAAAGTTGGGGTGCCTGATATGGGGTTTGAACGCTTATTCCTCAGGGAGAAGATCTAAGTTCCAGTTCCCTCCCAATCTTGAGTCACCATGCTGGGGGTTGGGGTTTATGGTGACATTATGCCTGTGCATTTCCTACCTGATTTGATGTGGTTTCCTTTCACTTTCCCCGTGTGAAGGGGATGGGACACTTTGCCAGTTTGTAGGATTTTTTCAGAGAAACTGTTCCATACATAGCTGTAGGTTCAGTGTATCTATGGGAAGAGGTGAGTTCAGGATCTTTCTATGTTGCCATGTTGAATCAGAACCAATTGTTTCTTCTAATAATGGTATACAAAATTAATTAAATACTTGCTGACTCAAAAAAAAATCACTGAAAACATGCATTCACATCGTTTTATTAATTTTTGATATAGGAGTTTATACAAGAAATAGAAACTTTCGCCTGTATAAATCATCAAAAATAGGAAAGCCCGTGGCTTTGGAGGTTGCCGAAGATAACAAATTTTCTCTTACACAGTCAGATATTTCTGAAGAAAATCAGTATTTCCTCTCTTCTTTGATCAGCAATGTCAGGTATATAGTATCATTTAAATCATTGTGTATTCATGAATATTTATTAAGCAGTGAATGGCTTGTATAGTACTAAAATGTGAACTGTGTAAATTCGTTCTACTTTAAGAAACAAAGTTCTTAAAATTCTTTTGTCTATTAACTGAAACATGATAGTAAAATTTATTTTTTAACCACTTAGTATGCACTTTATATCCTTTTACAGTTATATTTTATATATTTTCCAGTTTTTCTAAAATTATTAATATTTTTATAAAGGAGAAAATAGAAATTAGTTTTATTGCATTTGGAAATATAGTTACTGTTAACATGTCAATTTTAATATATACACATGTATAATTTACATAACTCCAAAAGATATTTTTTGAGATTATACAGTATATCACCTGTTTTATCCATTCAATATTATATCATGAATATTTGCTAAGTCGGTAATTTGCCAACAGGTAATTGTAAATAAAAGTTTTAACATCTATATACTTTTCCATTATATTGATATACTCTAATTTGTTGTCAGTTCTGTTGTTGACCATTTGGTTTACATATTTTGGTCATTTTTTAAAAATGAAAGACTTCTTTCAACAGAAATATTTGCCTTTATTCCTTTTGATTCTGGGCTAGCAAGTTTTATTAATCCAAAACATTAGAATCAGACTGTATTGCTCAATTAACTTGCTCTTCCTGTGCCTTCCCTAGAAATAATCTTAAAGAGGAATTCCACTGAAATGAATTGTAATAAAAATATTTAAAATACATCGCTGTGGGCAAAAGTGTGTCTAGATGTTACTTGACAGCAGTTACCCAGGAAGGTGGGAAGATGGGTTGTTTTTCTTCATATATTTCTAGGCTGTTTGAGTTCTTTCATAACATATCTCAGAATATCAAAGTCTTAGTTTCCTTACCTTTAAAATGGAAATAATATTAACATCTATCTTAGGGAGTTGTTATGAGGATTAAATAAGTTAAACTGTCTGTGTAAAATATTTACAGCAGCACCTGGCACATAGTAACTGCTCAGTAAATATTAGTTGTTAGTAGTAATAGTTTCTGATATTCTAGAAGTAGCATGGTAGTGGTTGTAAAAATCAGATGATTGTTGCTGCCCACTGTTGTTGGCACCAGATTGAGATCACATTTTATCATATATTGAAAAGCAACACAGTTGCCTGTAATACAGCCCCAAGTACAGGTAATCTGATTACTACATCCCATTCCATAGTTTCAGTATTAATTTCACAGAAGCGAAGAGTTCTACTGAATTGAGTTACTGTAATTGACTTTTGTGTACCCAAGTAAATACCAGGTATTTTTCTTCCTGAAACGCAGAATTCTTCATGGTTATGAATGCATCTTTTATTTCAGTTAATTTTAATCTATTTTTCCTTTTGCTCTCATCACACTTCCCTTCTCTTCCTATTAGACACACTTTAAAATCATTGTAACAAAAATTTCAAAGGCTCTGTTTAGGGAATAGAATTATATTTCATTATAGCTACAGAAATCCTAGAGTCCTCTGATTCACTCTATAGTTGAGGGAAGTATTTTGAATGATCACCAAACTACTCTTTTTATATAGGCTTTTGTAGGCAAATGTATCATAAATGTCCTAGTACAATTAGCTGTTGAACAAAAATTTTAATATGTAACTATTTGAAATTATTTCCTTTCTGTAGCCATGTCTAATTGTAATGTAATGTTACTCTGTTCTTCGAACTTTCTTCTTCAGATTCTCAGATACTTTACGAATTCTTACATGTGACACATCCCAGGAGAATAAGCAAAAACAAGTTGAGTACTTCAGTAGTACCAGCACTTCAGGTAATTTTAAAGAAATAATTTTCTATGAAAATTAAGGATACTAAATCTACTTTTGCCTCTAAAATCTTAAATAATTATATCTACTGATCTTTTAAAATGACTGGGTTTCCATCTAAAATGGAAAATGCGTAAAAAGATGTTTTTTAAAAATTTATTGATTAATTTTCATTGTTTTTGAAAAAAATATGAAAATAATGTAGATTATTTGTATGAAATGAACATATATTAAGATTAATAAAACCTGAAAGTTCTTTACCCTCTGTCCACAATCAAAGATAGGTAACCACAGTTTCCTGTTTAACGAGAGTTTTCCCTATATTTCCAATAATATGGAGAGCTGCTTCATTCTTTTAATGGCTGCATAATTTTTCATGAAATCCATATGTTCTCCATTTTTATACTGAAGAACATAGAGGTTTTTCCCTAAGATTTCATACATAAACTCTTCAGTAAACATTTTTATATACATATTTTGGGCTATCGTTATAACAGTGAAAAACTGAAAACTACAACAAAATGAATTTGGTTACCTACTATAAAATACTCTAGTTATTTAACTTAAATTTATAAAGCCTATATAATATGGAAAATGTCCATTTATGATGAGAAAAACTAAAATTATGAAGTGACACAAGTTTATTAAAAAATATGGATAACATTTTCTTATATGTTTATTCTGATTAACAATTTCTAGACATTGATTTGGAGTTTATTTCTCTCATTTCTGCTATAATATATTTTCCAAATTTTTTCCAATTATGTATATTTTGTAAGTGAAATATAGGCTTTACGAAGATTATTCTATCTTCAAAGATAGAATGAGATTTTAAATTATTCTGAATCATTCCAGTAGATTCTTAGGTACAAAATGGAACTGAATTGTCAATGCCTTGCAACCAAAGACCACCAGAGCAAGCAGAGTGTATTACTGGCTGCAGCAATGGAGAACGCATACCATCGGGAACCATGGGGCATCTCAGTCTTGTGTGTTAGAAAGGACTTACTATAGGACTCAGGCTTGAGTTAGGTGCTTTTGAGAAGAGTCCAAGGAAGTATGGCATTGTTTTGAATTAGGCGCCATCAGAGTCAGTTCTGTGATTGAATATCTTGATAAATCTTACCTAGAAGGCAGGCAGACTACAGGGACACTAAAGCTATAATTGGTAAAGCAGCAGCAGTTACTCGTATTAGACAAAATAAGGGTATGTGTGTCATTTTTGTGGTTTAGAAAATGTTCGTTCATTTTGTGTCAGACATGACTATAGAGTGGTCTTGTTTTTGTCTTGAATCATGGCTACAAAGTGACCTTTATGATGTTGAAGTTCTGTGAAATAGTTTATGATTAACAAGAGAATCCAAGGGCTGAGCTATGAGTGCCTGGCCAGCAATACCAAGGCCTCGCTCGTAGTACTAGGCCAGCTTCCAGATGTAAGGGGCTGCATTTCTCTGTCAGAATGAAGAAAAGAATTGCAATAATTATAAATGATTTTTATGCTAGCTAACATTTAACTTAATTGAAAGGTTTGGATTTTATCTGCTTCTTTGTAGGGTAACAAGAATCCATGACTAAAAAAGGGAAATTGCAAGAAAAGGGGTGAAAAAAACCAGGGGGATGGAGGTGCAAAATCCATAATTGTACTAAACAACTTAAAATTCAACTCAACTTTAGCCATTATAATTTATAATTAATTTTTCTCTTTGTTGCAGTTGAAAACATTGAAGGTTTTCAGGGTTCACCATACCCTGAAATTGATGAATTCGTTCTTTCCTTGGTGAATAAAAATGGCATTAAAGGAGGTAAAGATAATTTTATTCTTTATTAACTGTTATTTGATAGAGTAAGAGTACCTTTAGAAACATTATTTGCATTTTAGGAATTCGGCATTGGAACTACTTTTTTCCAGAAGAATTATTGGTTTATGACATTTGTAAATATCGCTGGTGTGGAAACATTGGAAGAGCCCACAAGAGTAATAATATCATGTAAGTAATATTGTTTGTTAATGAGTTCTATGTATTTAATCAATATTTTAAATGTTTACAGTTTTTAAAGTTGAGAATATAAAAATGATTTTTATATTCAATTTATATTTGTATTTAGTTATACTTAATGTGAATCTTATTACCTTTTTTCAGCCCATATATATTTATTTCTACTTTATTTGGTAAAAATAATCCCTTAGAGAGTATAATCTTGAGAAGACTAAGGTAGAATGCAGTGGGGCTAAAAGACAGTAGATAAATGAATAATGGAAGTGTGTGTCTCCTTCGTTTATTGCCATTGGCCCTTGATACCTTATGGAGTCTAAATCAAAATGAGCCGATTTGGGCAAGAAGGAAACTACTCAGTGTTAAGAGGTGGAGATAAGGTTATAACACATTCAAGACAAAATATGGTATGGAAGAGAACCAATATTTATTGGATGCTTACTATGTGTGTCAGGCCCTGTTTTAGTTTTCTTTAAAATGCTCCTGGCAAAAGGAGAAGTAAAGGATGAAGTAAAACCAGAAATAGAATTTTAAATAATATAAGGATGTGGTTAGAATAGGGATAAAATAGAAACCCAATAGTTAGCAGTTATGAGAAATTTGCTGTTTTGTATTTAACCTCAAAGCTGAGATGATTTATATTAAGCATGTAGAACACATGTGCCAGACATAAGAAAATGATCATGAAGCTTTTGCTAGAAAGCTAGAAAACATGTTGAGTAGCATGATTTAGTGCTGAACTGATATATATGTAGATTAGTTTAAAAAAATTTCAGAAAGTATATGTTCAATATACAACACTGTAACATAGAAAAACACAAAGGAAAAAATCTGTAGTTCAGAACCAGTGGTAACTGTGGTTATGATTTTGGTGTATCTTTCTAGTCTTTTTTTTCTATGCATCTAAGTTTATCAGAAAGTCATTATCATATGACTACCTTTAAACTTTTGAAATTGTCAGGTTGCTGTATATGTTTTTTTGGAAGAATTGATAGGTTGTGTTATATAGACAATATCTTAACTATACAATATATCATCCATATAAAAGTGTGCCTATCATGTACATTTTAAAGACAAACACTAAAATGACCACTTGTCGTATCTGCCACCCATTAGAATAGAACTTGACCAAACCTCAGAAGTACCTTCTGGACCCACCCCCCAATTTTTTCCTCTTCTCTGGACATTAGAGATAATAGTTACTATCTTGGATTTTGTGCTAATCTTTCCCTTGCTTTTTAAAATTATTTTTTCTGTATATATTTATATCCCCGGACAACATATTATTTCATTTTTTTTAATCTTATGTAAATTGGTCATTATTGTATTTGGGAGATTCATCCATATTGTAGCATGTTGCTTATTTCATTATTCTACAGTATGCCATTATAAAAAATATGCCAGTTTATTTGTCCTAATATGGACATTTGGGTTATTATGAACAATGAGGCTGTATTGTACTTATTGCCTAGTGCACATACGTAAGAGTTTCTCAAAATATATATCTAAAAGTAGAGTTGCTGTGTCATAGACTATGCACATATTTAATTTTATTAGATAATTATTTTTGCAAATGATCATTCTAATTTATACTCCCACCAGCAGTGTATTCAGATTTTCTATGGCTCCATATACTCACCAACGCTTTAGTATTATTAGATTTAAAAAATTTAGTTTGCTAATCTGGTGGGTATAAAATGATTTTGTAGTTTCATATGAATTTCCCTGATTACTAATGAATTTGAGGACTGGATTGTCAGACCACACTCGTGAATCCAAGACTCTTACCCACTATCAGGCTTTGCTAAAAGGAACAAGAATCAAAAGCACAGGTGAAGCAAACCAAGGCTGGGGACATCTGGCATGACTCCCCACATCCTTCCTGCACTAGATACTCTCGCTCAGGTTGAAAGCTGAGGTGGAAGTAAGAAGTCACCGCAAATGGCAGGGAGAATTGAGGTTTTGAAACATCTGCATTTTATCATATAGTTACACAGCATGTGTAACCGTGCCTCCTAAATCCATAGACTCCAGTTTTATTTGCCATATGCAGAAATCAGGAACATCTTGCAAAGAGCATTCTATAGATAAGGACTCTCTGTCCAGCAAATACCATTGGTTCTCAAACTTTTCAGTTCTTGATGCCCTTAGACACTTAGAAATTTTTTCATGTTGCTCTGAGGCCAAAAGAAATACCTAACAGTTCTGTTTATAAATTTCAAACAGCTTAAAGTTTGTTTAAGCTGTTTTAGTAGCTCTTTAAAAAAACAATATTGGTCATTTGAAAGAAAATATTTTTCATTCTTTTTTTATTGAAGTACAGTGACATATAGCATTAGCTTCAGGTGTATAACAATGATTGATATTTACATACAGAAAAATCACAGTAAGTCTAGTTAACATCTGTCACCTAGTTACAAAAATTTTTTTCTTAAATCTTTTAAGATTTACTCTTAGTAACTTTCAGGTATGCAATACGATTTTAATTACAGTCACCATGCTGAACATTACATCCTCATGACTTATTTATAACTGGAAGTTTGTACCTTTTGACCCTTCTTAAATACAATCACTTTAAATTGGATATGTGTCTTTCTGAGCACTGCGTAACCTCTTAAACATTGGAATCAGATTGGACACTTGCCACCCCCACCATTATGTCTCATTCCACATTGTTTACAGTATTTTTTATCACAGCCACCACCAAAAATCCCAACTCTATAAAGATAGGACATCACTGGAAGGAATGAAGGTTGACGTAATATTGAAGCCGTGAATTGCAGGGTAGTTTGCATGGAGCTTGACATGTTAAGTATCACTATATTTCCTTAGAAAGATGTAAGTGCCCTACACTGCTATGGGGCATTCTGGTGTACGGTTTGGAAACTGCAGCATATTAGTCTGTTTATTAGGAAGTCTATTATTGGAACGTTTATGAGGCAATGAGACTGGGTCACCTGCATTTTTCTCTCTTGGGTACATGTCTGACTACCACGTGGAATATCAGCCATTTTATATTTCTTTGTCTATGATATATGGGAAGATTTTAAACTACTTAAATTTTATTTTTAGTGGTTATAGAATTATTTAGGTTTTCTGTAACTTCTTAAGTTTGCTTAATTTGTCTAGTACTTTGTCTATTTTAGCAAAATTTTCAATGTTACTGGCCAAAGTGCATAATACCCTTATATTTTTAGTATATTTTGCATTTGTAGTTACATCTGCACTTAATATCTACTAATGTGTCTATTTATTTGATCAATCTTACAAGAATCTTATTAGTTTTCACATTTTGGCCTTTTTGATTTAAAAAATTTTTTGCTCTTTATTACTTCCTGCCTTTTACGTTATTAGGGTTTATTCTTTTGTTCATTTTCCTAGTTACTCATTTGTCTTTAGCCATTTTTTTTTTGTAAATAAGCTTTTCAGATTTGAAATTTCCCTCTAAAGATGACTTTAGCCCCATTTCACATATTTGAATATATATTTTCAGTTCCTTTCAGCTCTAACCATTTTCTAATTTCCATCATGATTTTCTTCCTTGAGTCATTGGTTATTTAGAAATGTTTTTAATTTCCAAGTTAAGGGTTTCTGTTAAGCTGTCTTTTTGTTATTTCTAAATAATTTGCTTGCAATCAGAGAATATGTTGTGTGAATGAATACTTTTAAATTTGATGAGATTCACATTGTACCTAGCATAGTCAATTTTTATGTTATATGCTTATAAAGAACTTTAAAGCAGTATTCTTATATGCCTATATCCATATATCAGATTTGTTAATTGCTTTTTAAGTCATTCAAATTTTCTATATCCTTACTGAATTTTTTGTGGTTATTTTATCACTTATCAAAAGAGAGTTTTTTAAAATCTTGACTTAAAGTCCATTTTGTATATTTTTGGCAACCAGTTTTCTTTTGGTTGGTGTATATGTATCTATTTCTATCCTTTTAAAGTTTTCTCTATCTTTTAGTCTTACACATATCTCTTTTAAACAGCATGTAGCAAAATTCTGTTTTCTGTCCAGTCTTGGTATTAACAATTTTTTTTTTTTTTAACAAAGGATTTTGGTTGATCTAAAAAATGAAGTTTGGTATCAAAAATGTCATGACCCTGTATGTAAAGCAGAAAACTTCAAATCTAACCGTGAGTTATTAATTTTTACATTTACCAAACTGTAAAAATTAGATATCTGTATGAAACAGTTTTACTATCTTTCTGATTCAGGTTTTCCATTACCTGCTGAAGTATGTCTCCTGTCTCTTCTCAAAGAGGTAAGTGCAGTTTTTAGTTTCTTTCTCCTTAGTAATTAGTTCTTGGTACAGCTGTATAAATGACTGAGTCGTATCCAAATGAGTCCAGACAGCTTTTAAACAGTTTGGTACCTTGCTTTCATTTAGGACAATCACTACACTGTATTCCTATCTCAGCACGTATCTGATAATGTACACCCCATTCTTTTTCACTGCTTCATAAGAAATTCTAGAGATATCTAACTAATCTTAGACACAAGAAGTTTTTCCTGTATTCATCTTTGTGTTTCTTTAAACTATATAAGAAGAATTTCTAGATATAGAATTGTCAAAGGGTATATGCATTTTTATTTTTGGTAGATATTACCAGATTGCCAAACCAACATTTTCCATTAAAGACTTTTACTTACTCAAGTAATTCACATTCATTGTAGAAAAAAAATTAGGAAATACATAAAAATCAAAAGGGGAAAAAGCCATCCTTATTCATAATCTGACCACTCACAGGTAACTGATGTAAATGTTTGGTATGTATCTCCAAGAATTTTTATCTCATATTTTTTGAAGTCATATATACTATTTTGTAGGTTTTTTCCCTACTTACACTATCACAAATATTTTCAATAATACAGATTACCAAATTGCTCTCCATAAAAATGATTAGAAATTAAACTTCACAGTTTGAAAGCACCTATTTATCCTACATTTTTGCCAACATTGCTTATTTTTACTTTTTATTCTTGACCAAACTGGTAGGCAAAAAGTATTCAGTTTTAATTTACACTTAATTTATTAAAGAAGTTGAATTTTTTTCAGTATTATGATTTGTATTTCTATTATAGATTGTCTTTAACTGTCCTCTGTCCACTCTTCTATGTAGTTTTACTAATATTTTTACAAAAAGTTTTAAGTTCTCTTGTCATTATCTTCTGGACTCTTTAGTGGTTTTTTTCCCCCTACATCCATCAGCCTCGTCCTTTAAAGTGTTATGGTTGAAATAAAGGTTATCTGCTATAAGCTGAATAAGTGTTTGGGTTTACATTCTAGATAATGGACTGGTATCTATTCAATTTGTTTTTTTTTTTTTAAAGTCTCCTTAAAACTAATACATTCAAGATTGAAATGGTAAAAATCTCATTCTTGGTCTGTAGAAACTGGACATGAAATAGCTGATCGCCAGATTCTCTGGTAAACTAAGTTAAAAGTGTTTTTGAAATAACCAGGAACAGATTAAAAAGAAAATAAACTTCGCCTCTAAAAAGAGGAGGAATAGCATCCTTGTTTGGAGTATTCTGATGTATGTTTGTGGTTTCAGCGGGTTATTTTTTCCAGTAATACCTTAAAAATGTATACTTTTGGTATACAGTTTACCACTGCTTGGATATAACTTAAAAAAAAAAAGTATAATGAACACCTGTGTACCTATCATTTAGTTTTAATGTTAACATTGTTATTTCTGCTTCATCTTTTTTTAGTATTTTAAATAAATTACCAATCACTGTTACTTGCCTGTTTTTCTATTGCAGTGGGTCATCTTAGCTTTGAAACATTTTTATTTTAAAAAGCTTTTTATGGAAGTGTTCTACAAGGACAAGGAACTTTCCTGTATGACCTTCAACTAGATTTGCCATTTGGCCACATTTGTTTTCTCTTTCTACTGTATACATATGCATTATTTTTTGTGAATCGTTGTCATTTTGGGCTGCTATAATAGCATATACTGGGTGGCTTAAAAACAACAAATTTCTTACAGTTCTGGAGGCTGGGAAATCGAAGATCAAGGTGCTGGCAGCTTTGATTTCTGTTGAGAGCCAGTTCCCTAGATCATGGGCATCTTCCTCACATGGCAGTGGGGATGAGAGCGCTCTCTGTGGTCTTTTATAAGGGTACTTCCTATTCGTGAGGGCTTTACCTTTGAGATCTATTCAATTCCAAAAGGCCTTACTTCCAAATAACCATCGCAGTGAGGGGACACAGTCCATAACAAATCTCTTGAGAGGTTACAAATATCAAAATCCATCATCTCTTTTTTAAGCATGTAGCTGGAGAATAAGGACATTTTTATATCACTGTGGTAAAATTATTAAATTCAGGAAATTTAATGTCGATACAATACTGTTATCTAATATATAATCCAGTCATATTGACAATTGTCTTAAAACTTATAACAATTTTTTTCAACCCATGTTAATGTTTTAGATATTTTATAAATAGGGAACTGTTAAAACAGCAGATAAAGTTTTCAATTTGCCATCAGCTGGACTATTCACTTTTGAAAAAATTCCTTCTACCCTTACTCTAGTACATCTGTGTGTGTTTAACAGGATGTACTGCAGGCATCTCCAGATTTGGGATTTCAAGAGTGTCCGAGCTACAATGGCAGCAATATTTGAATTAGTAAATTCATTCCCATGGTGACTGTCTCAGACAATATGATGCAGCATATTCATTTTAATATCTGTTGAACTGATCTTAATACCTTAATTCGACATAGATTGATATAGTATTATCACATTCTAACTGAATAACCTGTATTTTCTTCCTATCTCACCCTCCTTTTTGGAACTAAAGGAAGAAGAGTTTACAACAGATGAAACGATAAATAATGAAACCAAGAATCCACATAAGCCATCATCTAGTATGTTGTCAAAAGGTGTATTTTCTGATCCTGACTGGGATAATGGCATTGATGATGCTTATTTTTTGGAAGCGATTGAAGATGCTGAATTAGCAGATGCTGCAGAGAATAATCTGCTCAGTTATAATGGAGTGGATGAAATTCCTGATGAACTAATTATAGAAGTATTACAAGAATAGCTAATTAACTGTGGACATTTATATAACCAAGCTGTAATTTGCCTGAAGATACATTTAATAACACATTTTAGTAACTTATATTAATTAAATTATCTCTTTGCTTCCCAATTCTTGTTTTTCACTGAAACCAGCTTTACTGAAAATTAGCTTCAGTAGAAATATCCTTATTGATTAACCAAAGTTTGTCTTCAGATCAGCTTAATTTTTCATGTTTGTAGGTTGAAAGTGTCTGGTTGATTGGGATTAGGTGTTAACATTTTAAAACTTATGAAGAGACAGTAACCAGAAGGTTAATTATGGCCTCTAAAACTAAACAAACTGGTGACAAGGTCATACAACCAGCCTGAACAATTAGACGTTTACTTTTTAAAATGAGAATGTTGCTTTAACAATAAAAAGTAGAGTTTCAGAAGGCAACAGGCAGTAGTAGCATGAGAGTAATCTTTTTAGTAGACTGGTGTCATTTCTGGTCAAGGAGCTTTTCTAATTGATGGTTGACATTTTGCAGATGTTTTTCAGCTCCCAAAAGGGTTCTTACCCTGAATAAGAGAGCTGGAAGGCTGGATGAATCATACTGTTGAAGGAAAATAATTTAGATTAACAAATACCAAAAACTTTCATAACCCTATTTTACATAGTTCAATATTATGACCAAATGCCAATTTCAAAAGAGCTTTCCATTAACTATTCCTTTCCTTTTAAAATTTAAGATTAAGAAAATTTATTTTAATCCATTTCCTTAGAACAGAATCGATAAATAGGATTGTAAGGGAACTGCTGTGCAAGCTTGAGCTGATCTCATCCAGACCAGTTGGTTCAAAGAACTGTGAAATCTGAATTGTTTAAAACTGGAAATCTTTCCTGGTACAGATCAAGACTGAGTTTGAGCAAGTCTGCTCGATCTCATGCCTATTTTAAACACAAAACTGTAAGGCTGATTTATTTTTACCACAAGAACTGATGGAATGAACACCAGGCCCATAAAGGTTCATGAGAAAAAAAATCTACCATCTAGAGAAATTATTGAGATTAAGTTCCCAATCAGAATGTTTTTTTTCCCTCCAGAATGTTCTTAAGACAAAATTAGAATACAACCCCTAGTCATGATTTTTCAGTAATTAAAACCAAACTCCCTGTTCCAAATTGTATCTAAGGGTGATTAAATTCCCTTTACAGAATTTTATAATTGATAGTTTAATATGTTTTCAAGGTGGTTTTCAAAGAAATGAAAATTAAGCAGAAAAGCTGTCAGACTCTACCACCCACATAATAGTGTAATCTTTCTGGAATATAACCTACCATACTACTATGAAAAATATTTGAGGGCCTAATGTGTTTAAGCTGCCATGGAGCACCTGCTCTCAGGGAGGGGTGAGGAGGAAAACTAATATTTAGTGCTAGATATTTAGTTTAAGAAAAGAGGTAAGACATATACCTAAATATCTACATTCTATAAAGCAAAAAGGACACGTGCTACAAGAAAAGTGCAAAAGGTACTGAGGGCATGCAAAAAACAAGCTGTTAAGAGTAGTATATTCCAAACAGAGTCACTGACTCTCCATTTTTACCAAAGGTATGCTCAAATTCAGTCAGTGCTCTTAATTTCTCCAAGTTCAGTGGCCAAATCCCCAACTCCAAATAAGCTTTAGACTAGCTGGGTACTGTTACAGGAAAAAATAATTTGAAAACGTTCTGTTTCCAAATCTCTAATCTATAAAGAAACCTTAGATTCAGGAGAATTAAACGTTTAGGTCAGTGTCAAAAACTTGAATTTAGAAGTGAAGAATACAAGTATGATCATAAAAAAATATGTATATGATACAAATATATAATTTTCTGTAACAAAAATAGACTTAATAATAGATTTCTATTAATCTGACTTGGTTCTCAAAACAATAGCAAAGTCTACAGCAAAAATCCAGAAGCAACTGTAAAATTAAAATAGCCTACCACACTTTCTTAGGTATTTCCTTTTAATGTTTCTCAGCTTCTAAAATTACACCTACCAGATAAAAAGGATACTACAAACATGGGATGAACAAAAGAGGTTGGTCTTTAAAACATATTTGAGTGGTCTTCCATTAATGACATAACAAAGCAAAGCAGTTGTTCATTTGAGATCTGTACACAAAGGATACACTCCCTTAATGAGTTCCAGTATTCTGTAGTGTAAATACCTTAATAAAATCAGTGTTTCTGGATTTTTCTCCACTCCTCCAGCCTTAAGTAGCTAAAGAAGCAATGATATAACAAGTTTTCCACCAATTTAGAGTGATGCTGTTTTGGGTAGACTGTAATGTTGCATCTACATTTCTCTTTCCTCAGAGCTTCTGGTACTCAGCATGCAATGGCCCTGTATCTTCGTAAAAATTGAACTTACCGTTTCCTTTACATTTCGTTCTCTCTCACAAATATCTGAATAATCTTGATGAAGCTGTTTTAAATTAGATAAGAAATACGCTGCGTTCTTAAAAGAAGATTTTCTCTCCTTAAGTTCATCATATTTTACTTGTAGTTGCTTCAGCTGTGGTTCTAACCTAAAACAGAAAGCAGTTTTCCTAAAAATAAATAAGTGTAACAGCCTATATAGTGTATGCAACAGAGTATGTTAAATATACTGAGTAAAGGTAGAAAAAAATTGGGGAGGTGGACTACAAGTTGAAGATATCTTTGGCTCAAATTATGAATATGTAAATATTCTAAATTTCAATTTAAAATACAGATGAAACAAATATGAAGCCCACAGAAGAATAAACCCTATATATCCTAAAATTCATCTGGTCATTTTTAGGGTCTCGGGAACTTAATTAAAACCTAACTTGGTTAACATTTTAGAGCCTCAGGCAGGAATAGACAAGCATGGCAGTTTAATAGCAAAAGAGAAACAAAAAGCCTTCCCTTTGCCCCTTCCAAAAACCAGTGGGGGAAAAAAATGTGTGACCTAGATGAAAATGTGTGACTTTGGGCAAACTGCTTTCTCAGTGGCTTAGTTTCTTAACCTAAAAGATAAAAAGGGATAATAACTTGGGTTTTTTTATGGACCAATAAATAAAAAGGAGTAAGGTTGCCAACTTTTTACTCTCACAAAGATATAAAAAGCAACTCTCCTCTAATACCATGATTTTATTTTTAAAAAGTCTTTTTAACAGGACTTGTGCAACATTCTAGAAAACTAACTATTGTGCTGGCAGGGCTGGGGTCAGGAGTGCAAGACTTGGAATCAGTCTTTGCTATCTGGTCCTGGCTCCCCCACTTCCTAGGAGTGTGCCTGTGGGTTGTTACCTCCCTGCACCTTAAGTTGTTCACATCTAAAGTTAAAATAATGATATACCACATTTTTTTTCTATGCGTTTCCAAAATATACAGGCATACCTCATTATATTGTGCCTTGTTTTATTGCACTTCATGGATGTTGCATTTTTACAAATTGAAGGCAAGGCCTTCCACCAGCAAAGATCACAACTAGTTTTATTTAAATATTCGCTTTATTGCAGTGGTCTGGAACCAAATCTGCAATATCTCCGAGGTATGCCTGTACTTCGCAACTTCCAAAATTACATCTAGAAAAAGAACCAGAGAGGCTGGTCTTTAAAACATTCCTGAGTCTTATTATATAGCCTTATTAAAAGCTATAATACTCTGTCTCACAGGATTATGATGATTAATGAGTTAATATAATGCATTTAGGACAGTGCCCAGCCAGCATACATAGGAAGTTTAAGTGTTACCTATCATATTATCTTTAAATTTATTTTGGCCTGGGCCAATGAAAACTTTATCATAGGCCAACACCTGTCCATAGACTAGATTTGGAAACCAATGGACTAGAGAATCACTTCGTCCCTCTTCTAAACTTCTGTGGCAGTCTCTTTAAAACTTAGTAATTATAGGCTGTCTTTTCTAATACTACTTTCTCAAGCTGTTTGAAACTCCTGAAGAGCAGAGAGCATATCTGATACTGCTTATTAATATACTGCTTAACTATCAGTCTACCAACTTACACAACAGTCTTGGCTGTACTGAAGAGCACCAAAAATTACTAGTTGGTTGACCAACAATGTAGTGTGCTCCAGTCTTCCTAACCAGACCATGGGGACAGCCCTAGCAGAAGGATTACACTCATTTGTAAATGAAGTAACTGAGGCCCTGGGAGGGTAAGTAACTTGCCCAAGGCTACAGAGCCAGTAAGTGGCAGAGCCTGGATTCAAACCCTGGCAGTCTAGTTCTAGAGTCTATGCATTATGTTCTAATAATCATGCTGCCTCTCAGGTCAGAGTTGAGAGATCTGATGGCAAATAGATCAATGCTGAATTCTCCTTTGCTAAAAGCTTCTCCAACTCTGTAGTATAAACTGTCTTCATTGAGCTTCCAATCTCAAAGAAAACCTGGGATTTTAATGTGACACACCAGCAAGTTTTACTGGCCCCAAATCACATATCATAATCCTCCTATGTAAGTTCTAAAAGAGGATTTCGATATTATCTTACCGAAGCAGTTCATCCTGGACTTCAATCAAACGTTGCCTTTTCTTTTCAATATCTGAAATAATCTTAATACAATAATTCGTTAATTTCATAAATATTTGAACACCTCCATGTACACTGTGCCAGGTATTGAGAATTCAGTGAGAAACAAGACAAACACCATTCTTTGCATCATGGGACTTTGGTCTAATAGGGAAGACAGACATTACATACACACGGCATGCAATTACAACTTTTATGAAGGAAAAGAACAGGGAACTGTGGGAAACGGCACAGGGCTATTGACTCCAGGACTTGGAAGTGGGGGCCAGAGCTTTATTATCCTGTGAGATATAAAGGGGGGAGTTTCAGTTTTATCTAGGTACACTAGGAAAATATTGGAGTATCATGATATATTTGTATTTAAAAAAAAAAATTCAGTATAATATTAGTTACTATCTACTATTACATTGTTGGACACTCAGATTGTTCCTATTTGCTTATAAGCAATGCAGAGTTGACCAATAAGAGATTAAACCAAAGGAAAACAATAGCAGCAAAGGCTTATTATTGGAAGGAAAATGTATACGTTTACAATCCATTTCTATTGTAAACATAGGGGAAGCTGTTCTTCCACTCCTGGATTCACTCAAGTTTAGAGCTAGAACCTCGGACGTCATTTGATCCAACCAAAAACAGATGGGGAAAGGAAGGCCTAGTGGTTACTGGCTTGTTTCTCCTTGCATACCTAGTGGTGTACAGTTTTCAAAAAGGTGGTACAACACTGAAGTAGCAGAACTAGGATAAGAAATGAGGTCTCTTAGCCCTTAACCCAGTATTCTTCTCAGGCTGTCCTTTTACCTGGGACAGTTCTTTATTCTAAAGGGCTTTTTGCTTTTTGACATCCACAAAAACAATAATTATACATTCTTTAATACTTATCCAAATAAGTCATAATTTTGGGCTGCATAGCCATTTTTAGGTTAACCAGGATCCCATTCCCTAGCATGCATCAACAGTACTAAAACATAAGATCAACCAAATAAAAGGCTGACTAAAAAGATAAAAATCTTATACAAACTGAAGGTCATAAAACCCAGAATCAGGACTGCTTAACTCTTCCACATGACAGTGTTCTATAAGAGTATATGCTTGTAATCATAAGTGATTTACCTTAGCATTCTTCCTTTTCAGAGTTTTCAAAATTTGGATTTCTTTAAGCTACACAAAACAAAAAATAAATATGTGCATGGCATTTTCCAAAATTAAACGTTTATTAGTTTACGATATATCACATTTAGTTTAAAACATGTGAAATACGGATAGGTCTAATGAGTTATTTACCACATTGCCAGCAAATGCAATCCTTTATAACTGTTGCCTCAGGATTAGTAAAAAAGATTTAGACCAATAAATTTATGTCCATGAACTTACCATTTTGATGAGTTCTTCTTTCATAGTAGAATGAAATTTGTTGATGGCTTCCTTGCAAATTTTAGATTCTATATTTTGTCTGTAGCAGAATTTTAAAAAAAGATCAAACTGGGTATCTTGAAAGGTGTGTTTCATTTGCTTAGCACATCAACACAATTTTGCATACACCATTTTGAATATCCAAGATAGCATGGTCAGCTTGAAGCCCTTTCTTGGCTTAAAAAAATACTAAAAATGTCTCAACAAAATCTAAAGAACAGGAAATATTTTTTCTTAAAATCTCAAGTTATGTGGTCAGCTTAACTCTCTGACACTGGCCACATCCACAGGTGATACCAAGTGATGTGGAAATGCTTACAGCCAATCTATCTTTTCCTGTCCCCTGATCCAATGACCATCAGACTTTAGCCCCTCCCTCCCTGTCTGCTAACAACTGGAGGAATAATTGTGTAACACATTTGGAATAACCAAGTAGTACACTGCCAAAAGCCAGCTGTCTAATTCCTCAAAACTATATACCTGACCCCCAAAAAAGAAATAAATTCAGGTCCCTGATATCAGGGAGGAGAGTCCGGTCTCACAGTCTGGCATAGGCTGAATGGTAGACAGTGACTGTGCAGCAGCAGCACTCTGGCAGGGCTGCAGCTAGACCCTACTCTGCGTCAGCACAGGAGGGTACTATGATTTAAATTGTCCTTTTAACTGAAAGTAATAAATCTCTTGTGTAAGTAACAGGTACTTATAAAGTTATTTTTTTTCTTGGGGCAATCCATGAGGAGGAAAAGTTACCCAAGAGAAGGGACCAAACTCATGGTCTAATTCATCAGAAGCTAAGCATATACAAGAAAATGCCTGTACTTTTTAATACAGATCTTTGTTCTCATCATGAAATGGGTGTTGACAGAACAGGAAGTCCAGACTTCCTCCTCCCACAGGGAAATCAATTTAACACTTACATCTGGTCCAAAAAACCTTTATGGGAATTCCCAAATAAATTAAGTTGTAGTACACTAGGCAAGTTCAAAGTCAAGAACAGTCACATTGAAACAGGTAAGAAAAGCTATTTCTTATCACTAGAGATGGCCCTCCTCCCAAGCCAGCACAGCTCATTTCTGTTGAGAGGTGAAGCTCAGTTCATGGTTTCTCCCTTGAGAAGGAAAGAGAAGAGCAATAACCTGGCCTTTCAAAGGGCTGAATGAGGAACTCATTTCTGTCTTGCCTGACTTGGAGCACTGATAAGGAACCAGCATACTTTGGATGCCTGGGGGCCATGGATAACAAAGGAGCTCAGCAGCTTGTTGCAGTAAGAGAGAACCAGCAATGCTGCACACAGGGGCTGGCATTGCTCAGCAGGATCAGGAAAAATGGCCCAGCTTGTGCCTTTTGCCTTAGGAGGGA